TTAAAAACCCAGAAACGCGTCCAAATGGAGCATTTTTTTTTTTTTTTTGGAACGCCGTACAATGCTGCGCGTGTCTCATATCATCATAATGTAGGTGTGTTTAGTAGTTTTCGATGACTCCCAGAAGGATTCTAATAAAAAAAACATAATTTTAAAATTAATATTTAACAGTTTGATTACTCGAAATTAATTATAATTAGTCAATTATATTGAAAGCTAATAATTCCTCTGAATGGTTGAAATAGACCATTACGGCATCAACCTTTTTTTCTGTGCGATGCGTAGTTTTCTCAGGAGCGATTTTCCTCGCGTTTGTGGAAACGCCCCCTGTATATCTCACTAATTCACCAATGTCGCATCTTTTCTAGAGGCCCCTGAGACCGCAGGACTACAAAAGCTCTAACGCAAGTTAGCTTTTTTTTTTTTTTAAATTTTGGTCGTATTAAGAAAGGCATTCTGTATGATTATAATGCAATTAAATGCAAAGGGGCAAGCGAGCTGGACAATAATGATGAAAATAATCCCTGGAGAAAGGGAACTAGAGGGACAAGGGACAAACCTAGTTGTGTTTGGAGATGACCTCCAAACACAACTAGGTGACTGGTGAGCGACCGAAAAAATCCGCCTGGTCCGGGTATCGAACCCGGGACCACTCCACTTGTAATGGAGAGGTCCCGGGTTCGATACCCGGACCAGGCGGATTTTTTCGGTCGCTCACCAGTCACCTAGTTGTGTTTGGGGATTTGTGTTTGTCCCTTGTCCCTCTTGTTCCCTTTCTCCAGGGATTATTTTCAGCATTCTGTATATTGTCGGTCATCATAACCCCTCATTTCAGCATGCTATTAAGAATGCCATATCTCTTAGGATGACGCTTTTCGCCAAAACTAGCAAGGTGGCCGAACGATGAAACACAAATCAAACGAGTGAAAGTGTTAAAAAAAAAAAAAACTGTTGCTTTTAAAAGTTGGTATTCAATGTTACAAGGCGCAAAAACACGGACACAAGAGAGAAAGAGACAAAACAGGCGCCACTCGCAACTATATTTGAAAAGTGCAGAAAGAAAGGAATACAATCCTCGTCATCTTCATCTCGTCCACGCACGCGCTTAGCCATGTGACATACGCTTATCGCCCAATTTACAAAAACTTATCATGATAATCTAACCTCGGCATTGTAGAGTGCAACAGATGTGTCACTTACGCATTGTGCACCCCTTTTTCTAATGAAATACGCCTCTAATAACTCGCGCGCTTTTTGGCACTTGCCTCTGCCCAGAATCGCTGTCTCAGAAAGACGTGGCTCACACCGGCATTTGCTGCAGTGTTCAGGCAAATGTGCCCCATCATTCTTCTTGAAATTTTGCGCGTGCTCCCTTAGTCGGTCGTTTGTACACCTGCCCGTCTGTCCTACGTAGGACTTCCCACACGTAAGGGGGATTTCATAAACCACCCCCGTGGCACAATCAACATATGGCCTGGCATGTTTTGTGGTGCAGCCTTGCCTCTTACCGCTGCCACCGGTGATACGAGAGCATAGTTGGCCGAGTTTGCTCGGTGCTGAGAACACGAGCGGCACTCCAAAGCGGTTCGCCACCTTCTTGAGGTTGTGCGACATTCTGTGCACATAAGGTACCACCTCAGGTCTCATTCGACACCGCGCCGTTTTCGCCTTTGCCGTCGTGGTATGGCCTTTTACCTTTTGAAGAATGCCTTCTGCGACACTCGTCACGACCTTTTCAGGGTAGCCCGCTGACAATGGGCGGCGGAGAAAAGCTCACCGGAGAAAAGCTCACCGGAGAAAAGCTCACCGGAGAAGAGCTCACCGGAGAAAAGCTCACCACAAAACCGGCAGATGCGGAGAAAAGCTCACCATTTTTTTTTCCTTTTTAACTTAGCGGATTCTGCGTCAAACGTGGCAATTTAACACGATTCGCATTCATCACTTCATTAAAAATAAATCATCTTTTTTGTAATATTCTTGAAGTTCATTGTGCATATTTACAAATTCCTCGGAAATTAGTAATCTCCCATTCTGTATATTAATGAAGCCGCAAGTATATAATCAGAACATCGTACACCGGTGAAAGAGACAACAATTTATTGACAGCTGACAGTGCGCCGTCGGCAGCTCTGTCAGATGAAGAGGTTCGTTTTTTGCGAGCTAATATGAATGGCGGTGTGTGAAACGTTTCAGCTCCAAATATTGTGTAGTGCCTAATAGATAAGTAGGTGTTTGTTGATGTAATCAGTGGCGGCTACGCTGTTCTCTTCCTGTTAATTTGACTAACAAACCTTTAGTTTCGAGAACAGCTTCGTCTTGTCATGTTTGTTGTCCTCACTCCGTCGTCGTCGTTTGAGCCGTTTTCATCATATATAACGCTTACCAACTCGCCCTATTCGCTATATTACAGAAGACTACTTCTTATATAGGTCACGAGTAACAACGGTGCCAGTGTGCAGCTCTGAAGGTCATGGGTGGCTCACCGTAGAAGGGCACTATTACACAAACGCAACGTGTGGAAACACCAGCACGAACGGCTAAAAAACGTGCTTGTCCGTGGAAGAAAGAAGCCTCGATATCCTACTGACTGTTTTATGCAGTTTTCAAAGGTTAACAAAAGCTTCAAAGAGAATTTCAGGCACAGCGTTGTTCCGCATGCACTTTCGAATTTCGGGCATCTACAGTTTTGATTTTTAGGTCTTAGACAGACTTTATTAAGTTTTCGAACTTTTTCCTGTTCTTCAAGTTTATAAAGCTTCCAGTTAGGCTTTAGTTGCCAAGAAAATAAGCCACAGAAAACACTCGCCCGCAATTATCAATTTGGGAGCAGTATACCCAAAAAGTTTAACAAATATAGAAAATGACATTTTCTTTTTTACAAAGCTGACGAATTTTAATTACAATAAATTGATATATGTTACGCATAATCACAGAGCCACCATATAAAACGAAGAAAAAATATCGGTGAGCTTTCTTCCGCATACGCTCAATGGCCGGTGAGCTTTTCTCCGCATCCGCCGGTTTCGCGGTGAGCTTTTCTCCGGTGAGCTTATCTCCGGTGAGCTTTTCTCCGGTGAGCTTTTCTCCGGTGAGCTTTTCTCCGGGATTCGCTGACAATAGCCTTGTCACCTGGTTCTTAAAACTTGTCTTCATCCGGTGTGAGCACGACCTTTTAAGAGCCGACTCTAGGCATAGCATAGCGATACCTCTTTTTATCACCTTAGAGTGCGCAGAATCATACGGCAAGAGTTCCTTTTGGGACCGCGGGGCGTACATCCAACACGTGTGTCGTACTAAAACCTTAAGACTTAAATCTAAAAACTGTAAACTACCCTGCTTAGGCAGTTCATGGGTGAATGTTAATCCTTTCCCATTGTGTCTAAAAGCTTCTAAAACAGAGTTTATATCGTCAAGGTACGTCAAGGACGAACGTTCATTAAAAAGAATCAAAAAATCATCTACGTATCTAAACACTTTGAAAACGTTAAAATCACTGAGTGTTTTTTCAAGCGTGCAATCGATCGTTGCTAAAAAAATGTTACACAGAATGGGAGCCACGCACGACCCAATGCATATGCCTCTTTTTTGTAAAAACAGCTGGTTATCAAACGATACAAAGGTGCTATTAAGGTACGCTTCTAGTACAGTTAAAAAATTGTCAACAGTCACTCCTGCCTCATTCTGGAAAGGAATGATGCCACTTTCATCTATACATGCCCTTATGGCCTCAAAGAATTCACAGTGAGGAACCGAATAAAACAGATCCTCAGTATCTACGGAAAAGGCATACCCTATGCATTGGTTATCTTTGAAGAAATCAGCCACCTTGTCAGACTTTTCGTGACGAATGGGTCTGTCACCTGCAGGCTGTTCAACGCTTTCAAAAGATACCGACTTACATGCTGTTGGCAAGCGCCTTTTTCACTCACAATGGTACGGAGTGGCACATCCGGCTTATGAGTTTTAGCGGGAAAAAACACACTTAGCGCATCATTTTTACATTTGGATACATCTCTCACCAGCCTATCCAAACCTAATCCCTTACACAGATTGACGAACGCACTTTTCACTCTCGAAGACTTCGTTTGGGCCTGGTTAAAGTTTTTTCTTATAGCAGCGTCCGCCTTTTCACCAAACGCACCTTTCGTTATTGCCACAAATCCACCCTCTTTGTCCGACTCCAGAAGGCAAAGGTCATTATCTTTAAAGTACTGTACGTGACCACTTCCTGTAAGGCCTTATTGACACCGCCCCGCACTGGAAAAAGGGGTGCACAATGCGTAAGTGACACATCTCTTGCACTCTATAATGCCGAGGTTAGATTATTTGATAAGTTTTTGTAAATTGGGCGATAAGCGTATGTCACATGGCTAAGCGCGTGCGTGGACGAGATGAAGATGACGAGGATTGTATTCCTTTCTTTCTGCACTTTTCAAATATAGTTGTGAGTGGCGCCTGTTTTGTCTCTTTCTCTCTTGTGTCCGTGTTTTTGCACCTTGTAACATGAATACCAACGTTTACCAACTAGCCCAACTACAAGTTCTTCTACTTTTAAAAGTTGTTGGCAGCGAGAGAGGGAAATGTTTCGGTCGTCGGGACTCCGCAGAAATGAGAAGCATCCGAATGATCCGCGCCCCTTCGTCGCACGTGTTTTTGTTGTGTTTGTAACGCTCGCGCGAACCTTCCAATTAAGGCCACGAGCCCTTTTCCGGGTTCGAATAAATGGGTCCCGACTGACACCGGCTTCCCGGCGCCTCGGACGCCGTCCTGGAAAAGCATCCGAACAAAAGAGCCAAGGACGCACGCTGAAGCCGTCAGGCCTCCCACGCGTCGAGGGTGCGCCGCCGCACGGAGCTATTCCGGACCACCCGGATGCACGGCTGGGGCTCGCGGACTCGAGCCACGGCCGCAAGCCGAGCGCCTGTGACGTCATCAGAACGTCATATCCCATCCCTTGGCGCGACGAGCCTCTGCGACGAGCGTGGAAAGGGCGCCTCCTGCCGGTGCGAAGGCGCTCGAAAAACCGGGAGTGCCTCGACCTGCCCACGCGGCAGCGGGAGTCTGCGTTATTCGGAAGGGTTCGTTGCGAAGAACAAAAATAAGGCTTAACGAGTGGGTTGCGTGGAATACATTTTCTATCGTCTGCTTCAAAATGGTGACGGAGGTCTGGATGGCAGCGGCGGTGCGTGACCGGGGAGCAGACGACTGACATGGACGCGGAGGAGCGGCTCTCGGGCCATCGGCTCAAACGGACGCTGCACTGGTAAGAGAGATTTGTCGAGCAAACTTAAAGAAGACTTCCGCGACTTACTCGACGCCTGCAATCAAGTTAAATCGCTCCGTAAAAAAAAAAAAAACGAAAAGTGATATCACGCTTTTCAGAGTCGTTATAATACTCGACAATTGTAAATAGGTTCAGTGAACAGATATTTGACCGCACATTGCGTGTTACGAGAAAGTGCTACCCTGCGCAACATTTCTAAGGTTGCTAACTGCATACTCCATGCACACGTGTGCGTCCTCGGGTTGGAACGCTTCCAAGATTGGTCGATGGTGAACTTCCCATTAAATTCAGCACATCACGTAAGGACGCTGGTACAGAAACGAGCCAGTATTCACAGAGGAGTCCTGAGCCCATCATCCACACTAGATTTTCATCTCGCTCCCCTCTTGGTTGAAGTCAGTCTTTCATCGCTCGCAGCATTCTTGCTTCTGTTTTCGCTGGTATCTCCTCTATGGGAACTATTGCCTTTTCAAATTCCGTCTTTTCTTTTTTTTTTTTTTTTGCAAGGAAGTTAAGGTTTTAGGCGCACGTGCTTTCTATCACCTTGAGCGCAGATCTGAGCTATGCCTTCCCGACTTCTGAAATAATACACTTGGTACGTGCATTCCTCGCTTGTCGACTGCCAAGGACGTGCCGTTGTACTCTTCTTATTGCAAACTAAACTGTTACCTTTCGTACACGTTCAATTGCTGTGAAAGCTGCGCGCGCTAGCATTGTCGTTGAGCGCTTGCTAACCGCGAGCTTTCACTACATAAAGGATATCGACCCCCCCCCCCCCCCCCCCCCAACGGCCCCCAAGGGCCACGTTTTAGTTGTTTTCTATGAAAAAAAAAGTTTAGCTTTTGGTGGAATGGTGAATATTAGGAACAAAATAAAGCTGGGCAACGCATCACCCGTAACATCATTTCTCTTCGTGACGTCAGACTTCCCCCCTTTCCCTTCCTCTCCCCAAAGCCTGTTGCATAAAGCCGCCCCTGCACTACAATCATTACACTTCATCAGAATTGCTGCACTTCACAGAAAATGCGTAATTTCAACCACAGCTTGATAAACTATCAATTCTAATAACGATATAGTTACCTGAAGATGGGCGCTTTCAACATCGTGCGTGCTCTCCAAAGGAGAAACAGTCGAAACTATGCAGGTGAATGGACCGTGCTCGGTTGAGTTTGCTAAAGCTGGGATTTGAACTCTGGGTCTTTCAATATCCGGTCGGGTAAGGGTTAGTATACCCGACCGGATATTGGGAGACCCGGAGTTCAAATCCCGCCACCGCCATAGATTGTCTCTCGGCGGCTTCGTGGCCTTTGTTACACTCGATCAAGTACGATTAATTCTTCTGCATTTGTTCGATTACTTACCAGAAGATATATAGAGCTAAAATTTTGCGATAGTTGACATCTGTTCTGGTTATTAAAGAGTAACTGCAGCTGTAAACTTGATATCAAGTGCGGCAGAAACTGAAGCTTAATTAATGCACGAAGAGCGTGTTGGTGCGGGTCAAGATTGAAGAAAGAATAAACATGTGAGACGAAGACGACACAACCACATCTTTCAGCTTAATTACGAGCATTTTGTAGGTCTCAATCGATGGCGGGATAGCCGGCGCACCTGCCTAACCGTTTTGTCTACCTTCGCAGGCTCCAGAGAAGAGAAAACTAAACAACGCAAATAGAAACTAATATTATTACTTAAATAATAAGCGCCACATGAAGAAATTGACATGTCTCGAATCCACCCACTTTTCTATTCTTAATCGAATCAGGTCGGGCACCGGACCATGGCGCTTCAATAAAAGTTTATTCTCTCTCTCTCTTATTCGAATCGGCGCGTTTCCATACTAATAGTTCAATAGTTGCTGAAACAACAAGGACTAAAAAAGATTACACCCTTAAGGTGTAAAAATTATGTTTCAGAAGCTTACACCCATAACTGCAACCGGGATACTGTTGCTTGGGATATACCTTCAGTTTTGTATGAAGCGTAAAATCGGGTGTGAAACGGCTGTCACTGTTGGAAAGGGTGTAAACGACCTTACACCCGCGTTAAACAATTTAACTGGAAGGCTTTTTTTTTCTTTTTGCGATTATATTGAATAGTCGTTGACGGTTATACCAATGCTTCGAACTTGCTCGAACTTCGACATATAACGCCTTATGTGAAATATTGACGAGAACAAAGCAAGATAACTGCAGTCTTCATTATTTTATTTTAGTGGCGGTCACCAGCCAACTGGTATCTTTCAATTGTTCATTAAATCTGTAAGGCGATAGAGCAGTCCACAGAATCCTAATTCCTGTTTCCTGCGTGCGTCGTCGCGTCTGTATACATTTATGGTTTCTGTGCACGTACAACTATGTGATGTCCGCTGCCTGTAAACTCGTTTGCTCCTACAAATATATCCACTGTTAAGATAGCCAGTTTTGTTTACTCATTTATTTCGTTACCTCGCAGCGCTTGAAAGCACTATTGCGAGGGAAGGATGCTAATGCACATCAGCAAAAATGTATGCATACATATGAGGCCTGTTTCGGGACGTTCGCCAGCAGCCTAAAGGCCCGTTCACACTCTTGCAACCGAGTACGACTGAGAGAGACCAAACCGGTTTTTAAGCCTCTTGCGATCTCTTAGGACCAGCTCCGCTCAGCGCATCCGGTCTCAAGAAGTCTTTCTCGGTCGTACTCGGTTGCAAGAGTGTGAACGCGCCTTAAGGGTGTCGCTGTAGCCCTCTTAGGATGTTAGCTCTGGGACAACCGAATGCGTAAAAAGGTTCAGGCGTACGGAAATGCAGTGGCCATGGTGTGCATGAAATTGCAAACTTTCCGCCTATGGTGGTGTGCCGTCGTTGAACTTTCTGACCCCAACAGCGTGATCGCAGTCCTGCTGGGCGCCTCACTCCTCTGGTTCTTCTCGGGTCGACAAGAGATCCGGGACGCCGTCCCGCCGCCATCTTGTCCGCAGCGCCCCGCAGCGGAGAGAGCCGCGTCGGCCCGCCTGCTGTACAACCGGGTGCCCAAGTGCGGCTCGACGACGCTGGTCCACCTGCTGAGGAGGCTGTCAAAGAGCAACGGCTTCAGCCACGTCCACTCGAAGACGTACAACCAGAGACTGCTCTCTCCCGAGCAACAGGTCCGCTCCTGGGTTCTTTCAGTCCCTCGTGGTGGAAGAGTATCACGACCTGCAGAAGGAAGCAAAGAATTCGTGCCACAATAGAATTGATCCTTTTCTTTTTTTTTTTTATTGAAGGATATCGCGAGCAGAAGGGAGAAAGAAATAGACCTATTGCTATATATAATATAACCCAAGCATCAAGGAGCATGCGGGGATTGGTGTTCCACGCGCCGCACGTGCTGGCCCTCAGAAGTAGTAACTTCTCTATATAAAGCAAATACCTAAAACAAACGGCATCTTGTATGCACGTTCGTCAACGCTTTATTTTGGTTATTTACTTCGAATCTGTTATGCGAGGAAGGCGTGCGTGTGCCGCGCGTGAAACACCAATCCCTGCATGCTCTTTGATTCTTCATTCTCAGAAAAAGAGGGTATAGGGAGTATTCACTGGATGCCATATTTGTGGGTGCTCTTTAAAGCGCATGCTCAGGGCGAAGTCACATTGATAGGCTGCTAAGACCGCCAATCCTGATGGTGTGGAATGCACACTGAAAAAGAACCGTGGAAGCTCACCAGCAGCACGCGCTCAGCAGTCGCGCACACAACTATAACCGCCAGTGAATACTCCCTATATTCTCACACCCCTTGTCCCATATACGACGCCCCAAAACTTTATTTCGACGTACACCGCGCTGACGTCGAACCGACGGTACCAACTTTCACGAGCGGCTTGATAGCGGAGTGGTACAACTTATTAAAATAGTTAATGCACGAGATACTGACTACAAAAAAAGTAATCGGGGCTCTTTTAACCCTACTGCAAAACCTGTTTTTTTTTTTTTTCCTGTAGTCTTTTATACGTACTTTAGCTGTTTAATGAGGCATATATCACCGTTCTCAAGCCCCTCGTAAAAGTTGGGGCCGCCTGTTCGACTATACAGTGCGCTGTACGTGGAACTGAAGTTTTGGGGTGTCGTATATGGGACAGGGGGTGTAAAAATATGCTTTTTTTTTTTTTTCTGAGAGTGTTGGGTAATATTGCAATGGGTATATTCGTTCCAATCGAACAGTAGAATAGACCTTCTTCAAAATGCAATGCAATCTGGTAGCTCGTAAAGCAGTTTAACTTTCTACACACTAAAGGCGTCTCGAGGACCGGAAGTTCTCGTCGCAAATATTTGAGAAACAGCCGATTCTCGGCAAACTTCTGTCGTGGTAAGTGTAAAATATAAGTTCCATTCATCTATATTATTTTTAGACGTTTCAATTCCACGTCCGATTTTTAAACGATCTTTCTTTCGGAGCGAAATTTAGTCCCACGTATTCGTGCATATAACAGCGTCACTGGCAACAATTTGTTTGGAGCGGTGACATCACACGTGCACTTACGGTACACTTAATTGCGTGGTGCGTTTGTTTAGACAGCGGGGAGTTTCAGTCAGATGCTCGTTCAGATCGAAACCGGCAGGGGTGGGGTTTGAACTTCGCAAAAGTGTCTATTCGGCGTTTCCTGCAGGCACACATTCTGCGAGTCTTGCTTTAGAACGAGGCAGTCATGAGAAAAGGGGAAAACACCGAATGAAGGAGGGAGTCAGATGAGGCCAGGGTGTAAGATAGACAGGTGGGGAAACGGCCCATAGAAGCCTACCGCAGCGCCGTGACCGGATTGTGTACTCGTCTGCTTGCGGGTACCCCCGACTTTCGACAGATGGCGCTACGGCGAGAGGAAAAAAAATCGGAATCGGATTTGCGTGGAACTTTATGGGAGACTGCGCAAAATTAACCGAGAGCACGACCGTCTTTCATTAAAAATCCACAAAAAACCATCTCCGTCAGTTTAGCCGGTCGCCATCGGTCGCCCACCCGGAGTGAGAGTTCGCGGTGCTCCACATAGATGGCGCCACAGAAAAAGAGAACACCGAGGAGGACACAATGCGGTCACTCATTTAGCTCTCGTTTCCCCACCTGTCTATCTTACACCCTGGATGAGGCACAAGAACACTGGAACGCATATCGATTCTCTTCCTTACGTCCAGGCTCCAACGACCAGAGCGATTCTGTACGCCATCTTGTTTCCAAGCTATATGACGTTTTGTGGTTCCTCAAAACTTGCACTACCGGCGCAGGCCCAGTTTGTGCGAGACATGTCGGCTGCGCCGGCGCCTTACAGCCACGACAGACACATCTATTTCGTCGACTTCGGACAGTGAGTGGAACGACTCCTCCCTTCTTAGGGTCCCGCGCTTGTTTCTGGTTCTTCCTCCTTTATGCGGCAATTCAGTATTATTTTCGTTTCTCCCTGATTGCCGCATAAAGGTCCAAAACTCTGAACTCTGACCAGCGCCGCCAAGACTCGCTGCTTGCTCGAATAGAGTGCGGCTTATTTTATTCATGAATCGTGTTTTTAGTAGTAATAATAGTCAAATAACAAATAATACTATGTTAAAATAAGGCCAAAATTCCTTATATCATCTCTCTAACAAAGATACCAGAAGCAAGATCTATATTAAAGTCGCTGTATCTTGGGAAAGTAGCGCCATTGCCTTCCCTGCCTGCTAGCCGGACACAAACAGATACTAACGTACAGACGACCAAAACCTCGCAAGGTGATTGGCTGATCGTTGTCCGTTGCCATTACAATCGCTATTTGGCCCCTTTAAATTTTCGAAGCTTCGAAGGGTCGTCCTAAACTAGTCGCACCAAGATCGCCATGGAGCATCATCGTACGGAAAACATTCCTCGCCAATGTATAAACTTCTTTGGCACTGTGTAGGCAATCAACTTGTCAGTCACACCCACGTCTACGGATCTCTTACAATTGTATTTCTAGTCTTTAGTATTGGAAGACGAGAAGATTATTTTTCAATGCCTCCAAGCCCCGACAGCGCATGTGGTGGCGTTACAAAGTTCTACGCTTGTTTCTTCCGGTGTGTGCATAGCAAAATATCGATATACAGGAAACGTCTCTATAAAGCCACCCATCACAGGCGAATTTAGATTGGCTCACCAAGAACGCAGAGGTGAATTGAGAAATTGCTCATTTCATGAGCCAAAATGGCGACCATACGGGAAGCTTGGCGCCACTACAGCGCTACTTACTCAGGATCCAGTGTGATTTTAGATTTGATCGGAGAGCGCCGATGGGATAGCGCGCGACACGAGAGGGCGCAACCAGTTTATGACTGGCCGTAACCGCCGCGTGCAGGACAAAATCACGCGACACGTTGGAAAGATGGCTGAATCCGATTATAGCCTCTAAGATTAATTTCTACGTGAAATTCAGTCGGGGACCATTTGTACGAGATCATTTTGATCGAGATTTTGTTTCCCTCACCTTGTCCATGCCATGACAAACTTAGTAGGTTAGGTTTGAATTTTCGATTCTTGCTTGGGATCGGCAGCAAATTCTCCCTAAATCAAGTCTGGAGGATGAAAATATGACATGTCTAAAAACACAAGCTATCATCACGCCCACAATTAAAAGAAGAAAAAAAAAAAAAAAAACACGCACAGAACTACTACAGAACACCTTTTGGATATGCCTTCTTTATCGAATAGTCACCATTTAGGTATAGTTGTATAGTCGTGAATATTCTCGCCGAAACTTTGCACAGCGCACAAATGAGCTCCCGTGACGCGCGCTCCCATGACGCGCGCCCCCGTGACGCGCGCTCCCATGACGCGCGCCCCCGTGACGCGCACCCCCGTGACGCGCGCCCCTGTGACGCGCACTCCCATGACGCGCGCCCCCGTGACGCGCACTCCCATGACGCGCGCCCCTGTGACGCGCACTCTCATGACGCGCGCCCCCGTGACGCGCACTCCCATGACGCGCGCCCCCGTGACGCGCACTCCCATGACGCGCGCCCCCGTGACGCGCACTCCCATGACGCGCGCCCCCGTGACGCGCACTCCCATGACGCGCGCCCCCGTGACGCGCACTCCCATGACGCGCGCCCCTGTGACGCGCACTCCCATGACGCGCGCCCCTGTGACGCGCACTCCCATGACGCGCGCCCCCGTGACGCGCACCCCCGTGACGCGCGCCCCCGTGACGCGCACTCCCATGACGCGCGCCCCCGTGACGCGCACTCCCATGACGCGCGCCCCCGTGACGCGCACTCCCATGACGCGCGCCCCCGTGACGCGCACTCCCATGACGCGCGCCCCTGTGACGCGCACTCCCATGACGCGCGCCCCTGTGACGCGCACTCCCATGACGCGCGCCCCCGTGACGCGCACTCCCATGACGCGCGCCCCCGTGACGCGCACTCCCATGACGCGCGCCCCCGTGACGCGCACTCCCATGACGCGCGCCCCTGTGACGCGCACTCCCATGACGCGCGCCCCCGTGACGCGCACCCCCGTGACGCGCGCTCCCATGACGCGCGCCCCCGTGACGCGCACTCCCATGACGCGCGCCCCCGTGACGCGCACTCCCATGACGCGCGCCCCCGTGACGCGCACTCCCATGACGCGCGCCCCCGTGACGCGCACTCCCATGACGCGCGCCCCTGTGACGCGCACTCCCATGACGCGCGCCCCTGTGACGCGCACTCCCATGACGCGCGCCCCCGTGATGCGCACCCCCGTGACGCGCGCCCCCGTGACGCGCACTCCCATGACGCGCGCCCCCGTGACGCGCACTCCCATGACGCGCGCCCCTGTGACGCGCACTCCCATGACGCGCGCCCCCGTGACGCGCACTCCCATGACGCGCGCCCCCGTGACGCGCACTCCCATGACGCGCGCCCCTGTGACGCGCACTCCCATGACGCGCGCCCCTGTGACGCGCACTCCCATGACGCGCGCCCCCGTGACGCGCACTCCCATGACGCGCGCCCCCGTGACGCGCACTCCCATGACGCGCGCCCCTGTGACGCGCACTCCCATGACGCGCGCCCCTGTGACGCGCGCCCCCGTGACGCGCACCCCCGTGACGCGCGCTCCCATGACGCGCACTCCCATGACGCGCGCCCCTGTGACGCGCACTCCCATGACGCGCGCCCCCGTGACGCGCACTCCCATGACGCGCGCCCCCGTGACGCGCACTCCCGTGACGCGCGCCCCCGTGACGCGCACTCCCATGACGCGCGCCCCCGTGACGCGCACTCCCATGACGCGCGCCCCCGTGACGCGCACTCCCATGACGCGCGCCCCCGTGACGCGCACTCCCATGACGCGCGCCCCCGTGACGCGCACTCCCATGACGCGCGCCCCCGTGACGCGCACTCCCATGACGCGCGCCCCTGTGACGCGCACTCCCATGACGCGCGCCCCTGTGACGCGCACTCCCATGACGCGCGCCCCCGTGACGCGCACTCCCATGACGCGCGCCCCCGTGACGCGCACTCCCATGACGCGCGCCCCCGTGACGCGCACTCCCATGACGCGCGCCCCTGTGACGCGCACTCCCATGACGCGCGCCCCTGTGACGCGCACTCCCATGACGCGCGCCCCCGTGACGCGCACTCCCATGACGCGCGCCCCCGTGACGCGCACTCCCATGACGCGCGCCCCCGTGACGCGCACTCCCATGACGCGCGCCCCTGTGACGCGCACTCCCATGACGCGCGCCCCCGTGACGCGCACCCCCGTGACGCGCGCTCCCATGACGCGCACTCCCATGACGCGCGCCCCTGTGACGCGCGCCCCCGTGACGCGCACCCCCGTGACGCGCGCTCCCATGACGCGCACTCCCATGACGCGCGCCCCTGTGACGCGCACTCCCATGACGCGCGCCCCCGTGACGCGCACTCCCATGACGCGCGCCCCCGTGACGCGCACTCCCGTGACGCGCGCCCCCGTGACGCGCACTCCCATGACGCGCGCCCCCGTGACGCGCACTCCCATGACGCGCGCCCCCGTGACGCGCACTCCCATGACGCGCGCCCCCGTGACGCGCACTCCCATGACGCGCGCCCCCGTGACGCGCACTCCCATGACGCGCGCCCCCGTGACGCGCACTCCCATGACGCGCGCCCCTGTGACGCGCACTCCCATGACGCGCGCCCCTGTGACGCGCACTCCCATGACGCGCGCCCCCGTGACGCGCACTCCCATGACGCGCGCCCCCGTGACGCGCACTCCCATGACGCGCGCCCCCGTGACGCGCACTCCCATGACGCGCGCCCCTGTGACGCGCACTCCCATGACGCGCGCCCCTGTGACGCGCACTCCCATGACGCGCGCCCCCGTGACGCGCACTCCCATGACGCGCGCCCCCGTGACGCGCACTCCCATGACGCGCGCCCCCGTGACGCGCACTCCCATGACGCGCGCCCCTGTGACGCGCACTCCCATGACGCGCGCCCCCGTGACGCGCACCCCCGTGACGCGCGCTCCCATGACGCGCACTCCCATGACGCGCGCCCCTGTGACGCGCGCTCCCATGACGCGGCGCTCTCGTATCACACGCTGTCCCGTCGCCGTTCTCGTGTCGTGCGGACATTGCATAATAGTTAGTAATAGATTTATTTAACTACCGGAGGTTTGCTATGAGATTCCTAAAAATAACGACATGAAAGATATCGACACGGTGTGATAATATCCGTAAAGCAAAATCTCCAGTTGGTGTTTGCAAGGGATTATGCCTACAGAAGATGACCCGAATGTCAGGATGAATGAGGGAAAATAATGAGGGGGCTTCACAACACTTTTAACCTTCTATTGAACTATATTATTATACACAAGGTTTTCTGTCTAACAATAGTGGATTGAGCACGTACGACTGTTCGGTGAGATAAAGTTTGTATTCTCAAGAACGATGCGAATCTGTTCTGCCCATCTTCGACTTTCAGCGCGTTTTGAAAGAGCGCAGCTCTTGGGTGCCCGTTTCCGCGCTTCGCGGCGTCGGCGTCGCCGTCGGCTATTCGCCCCGCTAAATGTAGCGGAAAATTGAATTGGTGTTGAGGTCACGTACGTGACGTCGATTTTCCCGCTAAATCTAGCGGAGAAGCTGAATTTGTTCATGGGTGACTTGACACGAAGTCGTGGGACGTAATTTTTCCCCGCTCAATTTAGCGGGAAAATTTCCCCGCTAAATTTATCGGATTAAGCTTCCCCGCTAAGTTTAGCGGGAAAACTGACGTCACGTGACCTCAACACCAGTTCAGTTTCCCCGCTAAATTTAGCGGTGAAAATGACGTCACATGACTTTGTGTCACGTCACCCATGAACAAATTCAGCGGGAAAAGGGGCGGAGAAGGAAAGGAGGAGGGGCATACCCTTTCCTTTGTACCCTCCCCTTCTCCTCCGCTGCGCCCTAGTTTCGCATTACGGATATTTGTAAACATCTTTCGTTGTTTTTTCTTCTACATACTTCGTCTCAGGGACGCAGCCGATACTATAGTTGAGAGGACCACTCAAACAGCCTCGGAAGCGCAAGTCACTCTCTGTACGATATTTGGGGCACAGAGATGATGGAACCCGACACGTGACGAACACCATGTTGTTACGCTCCGGACGCGGTTTGATTGGTCCCATCAGCTCGTAACGTTGCCTGCGTCCGGACTTAAAACCAAGTCTGTGCAGCGCACGAGGCTAACGCTGTGGAGACTGCGCTCGTGTCACGGGAACGACGTTTTTGTCGGTGCAGGTTCGGCCGTCCTTCGCCCGCGTACGTGAACGTGATTCGGGACCCCGTGGACAGGCTGGTGTCCTCCTTCTACTACCGGCGAGCCGTGGCCACCGGAGTGCAGGGCACCGGCAAGCCCAGCAGGTTCTGGCTCTCCAAGGTTGCTCACTTCTACGATGTTTCCTTGCATGCAACTGGAGGCACCTGCTCTCTTATATGTGCGAGCTGTGGCTGAGCATGGGCTGAGCGGCTGAGGCTCCGCCACCGATCCTCCTCGCGCAAACGACTTACGCGTGAAAGCTCTGGCAGCGTTCAAAGCGTACATACTGTTACTAAGTTCAGAGTCACGTTACTGTGCGCTCTCAATGTATTGCTGCCTCTCTCGCCCCACCTTTTCTTTCCCCGCTGAATCCCAGTCTAGAGAACGACAAACGCCCGAGCTCTAACAATCATCACCAGTCGGTCCATATTGCCGCGTGCATGACCGAGAGGAAACGCTATACTCCTAGAGGATGCGTGTTTAGTCTACCTATAGATATCAAGAGGCCCACATAACCTCGCCGAGTCAGCCTCCGCAGTGTTCAACGCTCGAACACTCTGGACCGTCTGGACCGAACGTTCGAGATTCCGAGGCCGTCAAGCTGCTTTGTCAGCTTTTTTCTCCAGCTCCCATTATATGTGATGTGGTGAATAAAGTTATTATTATTATAATAGAGAAGGAGCCCAGCGCAGCCTTGCGGACTCGCTCTCGCATTCTCGCGCTATCCAGCTGTCACGCCGACCCTTCAACACTCGCTCCTGCCGCCTTTGACGCATCGCATCGACGCATCGCTTTGTCGCCGCGCTCGTTCCTTTTTTTTTTTTTTTTTGGCACAACACATTTTTTACGTTGTGTGATTGGTTTAGTCGGTGGTAGCGAACGCACAAAGAAGACGACGAGCGCGAGCGTCGTGACGATGCAGTTTTGGCGCTGTTTGATTAGGGAGTTTTCGTAGATCGTCTTCGCCGTCCCGCAAGGGCCCTCCGCAACCCGCTACGATAGCGGGAACTCCACAGTCAAAGCTATCGGCGCGCAGGCGCAGTAGCAACTTCTTCGTTGCGGAACGCTTAGCGGAGGGAGCAGCGCGGTCTACGAAAACTCCCTATTGACTCCATCGGATCGTATAAGGAGTATTCACTGAGAGAGGTTCAATTTCGCCAGGGGGCGCCATCGTCAAGCCGAACCGAGAATCCCCACCAAAAACAAAACAAAACACCTTCTTTTAATTTATAAAAGCTACGCTTATGTGAACATTACCGAAACACAGAAAACGCGGAACCCCGCTGGGCCGGGCATATGCGCGGGCACCCTCCATTGCGTGCTCACGGCGTTCACGTTTTACCCGCAGAGTTTCGAAGAGTGCGTGCGAAGGGGCGACGAGGAGTGCACCTTTGCGGCTGGACAGACGCACCGTTCGCTCATGATGCCGTACTTCTGCGGCCACGACGTTCGCTGCACGTACGTATGAAGGCACCATTTCATTAGAACGCATTACGCGCGTAGTTGCGATTTGCTATCGTATGCACTCTCGAGTCTCAAGAATGCTTCGAAATCCTCCTCGTTTCCCGTCATCCTGAAAGAAGGTTGGAAAGCGAAGCTTAGCGAAGCGTCGAAGAATGAGACTCGTCAGGGGCTTACAAAATCGACTTACCCTCGAGAAATTGTAAGCTGCGGGTCCGGCAGCGCTCATTCGGACGCACGGTGGTCAGCCATCTGACTCGTTCGACAGGTGGCGGCACCTTATGCGGTGTTTTTGCAACTCTGAGACGGCCGGCGGCAGCAATCATTGGACCCGACCCCGAGTTCGAACGTCCTGCCGAACTCTGACGCACAGCTCGCGTCCAGTCGGTAGGTGGTTCGGCCTTCTCAAAGTTGCCCGTTTTGGCCACCAGCCGCGCTGACTAGCAGCCGACCGTAGAGTAGAGTGGACCATAGAGTGCCTACATGTCTCTCTGTCTGAGGGTGAAGACATCCATTGTTGCCCTGAATGTGCCAGCGCGTGACGCTCTGACGCACTCGGTGCGTGACATAGGCGGTATAAGATGGCGTCTATGCATTAGCCAAAGTTACGCGTTCGAGCTGAGTGACACCGGATTGCGCGCACTTCCAAACGCATAAAAAAAAAAAAAAAAAAAACGATTGGGCGGAAAAATGGCTGAGATGTCACCACACAAGTACAGTGTTACTCAAGCAAAAGCGCGCGCATGCATGTGTGAAGGCACTCTAGCCGACCGAGGCGCCTCCTGTTCGCTGCCCTGGGTTCATCCAGGCTTCTCTCTTTACGGGACACAGGTTGACCTACCGAAATCTGCATACCAGGCGCTCTCTTTCCGTTAAAATTAATTTTTGCAGCCTCTGGCTCCGACGACCGGTTCGCGCTCTCCACTTTTCCCACGCTTCCTCCTCTCCCCCCTCCTACCCTGTCGACCGTTGCCTGTTTCCTCCTCCCCCATGGTGAGGAGGATCTTCCGCCTGGCAGAATTCCGAGTCTGGTCGTCTGCCTTCAAGAGAAACAAGGCGGCCTACGTCGCAGATTTTGTTTCCACGGCAATCTCGCATACAATGCAAGCCTATGAACGGCAGCACTATTAACTGCTCTCAGTCTGGATGGGGGCGCTAACAAACACGCGTGTCAAAATGTTGTTTAGTCACCCCACACGACGTTTCCTCGCCTCAATCTGTGCATTCTCCGTGTCGTCGGAAGAGAGGAGAGGACGACGAGGCAACCCTTCGAAAAGACGCCACGGCGCGTGCCAGACAGGTGAATACTCATCGTGTAAATAAGCGTCGGATTCGTTTCTCATGATACGCCATTCTGCATATGACGGCTAAATGAATAAATCGAGACAATCACCCTTTTTTTAAACTCCATATTTCGATCTTTATGTGCAGAGAGGGCATGCCGACGCCACTAAGTGAATGACGCGCTATCGCACATTTGGATTGGGCCGCATGTGCACATTAAATAAAAACATTTCCGTTTTTGTTTGTTTTTACAGGAAGGTTTTTAAAAAGCCACGAAAGCTACACTAATGCTGTCTGTGGAAGTGAGTTATACGGCCAGAGGGACATAATATAGGGGAACAGTCGTCACAATAAGTCAGTCAATTAACTAACCTGAACTGACTCGCCCCCATTTTTAGGAGTGGCCAACTGTTCAGGTTTTCCTTTCCAATAAAACGCTTACTACTACTCAATTAACTAAAATCTGTTAATTAAACTTCTTAATTAGTGAGAATAAACACATGGTTCCAGTCAGAAACCTGCTGAAAGTATAATCGAAAACCTTTAATTCGATAAATCTTAGAACGAAATTGGGGGAGCGTGGGAAGCGCCAGGGGTGCGCTAAAGTTGCCGCCCGTGCAACAATTAGCGCAAGGCTGGCGGCGCAAAACCGGGATGATAATTGAACCCGAATTTCGTGCCGAGACTGGTCCTGCGTGTGCCCATATAGGTGCGATCTTTACCGCTGCTGCAGGACGGTGGGAGACCCATGGGCCCTGCGCACTGCGATGGAGCACGTGGACCGGCACTTCGTCGTGGTCGGGGTGCTGGAGGACATGAATGCCACCTTGGCTCTGTTCGAGCGACGGCTGCCCGCCTTCTTTAGGGGCGCTCTGCAGCTGTACCGCCAATTCGGTGGGTATCGTGGGCCAAGTTCGAGTGTCCTCCTTTCGGGAGGCAACGGTCGCATTCCGATCGTTTCCTAAAAGCCACGCTCGTCTGACCGCCACGCGCATGCCTAATCTGAGGATAGCTTATATCTTACACTCTAAACGTTTACACCCCTAAGGGTGTAGATCACCTTGTCCCAGGGCTAACACCTCTAGGGTGTTGCAGCAACACCCTATAAGTTGCAGTCTTAAGGGTGTAATTATCAACTTGTTCCAGAGCTAACACCTTAAGGGCGTTGCAGGAACACCCCTAGACCGCAGTCCTAAGGGTGTAAATCAGCTTATCCCAGGGATAACACCTTAAGGGTGTTACAGCAACACCCCTAAGCCGCAGTCACAATGCTCATACATAGTACAAAAGACACTGCAGGCATGATGACATCTGCGGACACCCCAAAATCATCTTAGAAGCATGCTTCCTTCATGATGCTTTGAACATGCATGCAGACTGTTTTTGTATGACCAACGTGACAGGGCTGTCATACAGGGAAGGTACACACCTCAGACAGGGTCTAGGACTTTTCGCTGTGAAGGTTTCGGTGCGGACTTTTCGGCGCACGGACTTTTCGGTCCACGGACTTTTCGGTGCGCGGACATTTCGGTGCACGAACTTTTCGGAGCACGGAAATCTCGGTGCACAGCCAATCAATATCATGATTTTTTTCTAAACGTAATTAGCACTATTTTAGCTAGAAATTCATTTTCCGCATTTAATAATTTTGTACACTCGGTCATTCATTTACGGTCACTTACTGATATACAACCTAAATGACTTTCTTAGGCGCAGTGCCATCCTGCGTGAGGATTGGAGACGTTGGACGTTATGGTTCGCTTGCCGGTGTATCTTTTCCAACGTACGCACTAGACGCATCACATCGTGTTTACGCGTTGGTTCGATAGGGGCGTTCTTGACTTCTTTAAAGGTATTGGCTTTATGATTGGTAATCCGTGCAGGAAAGGCCCCAACAGCAAGAAGCTTGAGAATGTTGAAAATAACCCGAGTAAAAGTTAAGAAATTTCGCGGAACTTCGAGACGCGTCCTTCTTCCTACGTCTTTTTTCTTCCACGAAGTTGCCCATCTTTTACCACAGTCTCGGGTTATTGTCAACATGATCAACATCCACCAGCTCGCCTGCACACTCACCATTTTTTTTTTCCCGTAAAGATGAGAAGCTCTTTATTTGTGATAGCTCAGAACAATTTGGAATGTCTTGAAATGTGCGTGCACCGCGAAATCGTATAGCATCGAATGTTTAGCACACCTCTGACAGGAGAAATTAAAGTTTTCCCTATCCGTCACGCGTCGCAAGGTTTGTAATATCAAGACATAAGACACATTAAGATTACCCGAGTCTTTTGGTAAAAAAAATGGGAAACGCCGTGGACGGAAAAGGACACAGGAAGAAGGACGTCTCAAGGTTCCACGAAGTTTACCATCTTTTACTAAAATCTCGGGCAATTTTCAACATTTCAAGATTCTTGTTGTTGGGGCCTTTCCTAGACAGATTACCAATAAATAATAATGCCAACACCTTTACACAAGACGCCGAGAAAGCCTGTATCGACCCGACGCGCAAACACAGTGTGATGCGTCTAGTGCGTCTTGGAAAAGAGGCACCGGCCAACGAACCATAACGTCCAACGTCTCCAGTCCTCACGCAGGATTGTACTGAGCCTAACAAAGTCACTTAGGTTGTATACCAGTAAGTGGCCGTAAATGGATGACCAAGTCTACAAAACTAAAAAGTGCAAAAAAAAAACTTCTTTGCTAAAATAGTGCTTCATACTTCTAAAGAAAAAAAAAACGCGATTTTGATTGAAGGTAAACTTCTTAGTGAGCGCGTTGGTAATGATGTAGGTTTAGAAAGAGTTATATACGTAAAAACAGGGGACGGGACAACACATCTTGAAGGTGCACCGAAATGTCCGTGCACCGAAAATTCCGTGCACCGAAAAGTCCGTGCACCGAAAAGTCCGTGCACCGAAACGCCCTACACCGAAGCGTCCTACACCAAAATGTCCGAACACCCCTCAGAGATCATGCAGACTGTGTTTTGTATACGACGAATTAGCGGTGTGATCGCTCGGCCTTAGGATGCCGGTGAAAACCCCAAAAACAGAATGGTATAGCCATTTTAGAGACCTCATGCAAACATCTAACTCGGATAACGATATCCGTAAAGATGAGGTAAAGTAACGTAAACCATTCAGAATGCACGTTTACGTAAAAAAAAAAAAAAAAAAAATTCTTCTTCAATCTATACGTTCCGAGACTAATTTCTAGTTACGAAATGGTTGAAATGATTCTCGCAACGCAAATATATTGCGCCATTTTTTTTTTTTTTTTGGGAGGGAGGGTTTTTTTTTTTTCCTTTTTTTTTTTTTTTTTTTGTAACAGGCGTATTCTATTTAGTCCCTTGTAAGAGTCGGTGTTTCTTGGGGGTAGGGTTTAACTGACGGAGAGCGATATCTTTTGCAGCGTTGCACCAGAACCGGAACGAGCGTAGGAAGCCGGTCCCTGCGGAGATCCGGGACCAGCTGCGGCACAACCTGAGCACCGAGTACCAGTTGTACGGCCTGGTCAGGCAGCGGCTCTACTCCCAGCTGCGGACGCTCCGACTGGAGGACGCCCGTGCCTCGACGAGGCGCTGAACGCCGACACGGCATCGCAGCGAGTGCAGGCGGCCGAATACTGCACGAACCCGTCGAGACGAATGACACGAACCTGACACCTGGTCCAGAAGACTTCCACGAGCTCACTGATGGCCTCGAATTTCAGGATAGCTCTTAGCTCCAGACATTATGAAATGCGAGTGATTGTGTGTGTTTGCGTGTGTGTGTGAGGGGGGGGGGGGGGGGATTACTTGGCAAGAATATGGCATGATTAAGTAAGTAGCCTGCGTTCAAAATTGGTGTACGGGCAGGGGCGGATTTAGAAGGGGGGGGGGGGGGGGGGGGGGCGGATGTCCTGACCCCCTTTTGATTTCTGCATGCGTAAAAATTTAGGGCGTGGAAACGGGGGAGGGGGGGGGGGGGGGTTCTAAACATATGGTACCCTGACCAACACCTGCCCCTCCCCCCCCCCTCCCCCTCCCCTCTAGAAATTTCTGCATCCGCCCCTGTGTACGGGTGTCCCAGAAAAACAAAATGTACTGCATTTTTTAATCGCAAAAGTAAACTACTCATCGCCGTGACCTCTCAGTTTCTTCCCAAATTATGGCGTTATGGTTCCGAGCCAGGTGCAACGTTCCAGAATGAACTGTTGTCTTAATGAACAGTTATAAGCCATTTCTGGAAATTTCCAGTGGTAAAACGGAGACCGACAACGCCCGCTGCACCTGCGCGAATGCACGGGGCTAAATGGCGTAGACTGCCGAGAACGGCCCGATTTTCCCATTGCGAGGCATCGGCGAGGTAGACTTTATTTTTGCAGTTAAAAAAAAACTTTTTTTTTTACATTTGTTTTGTAAGTTTTTAAGAACATGCGCTTTGTGGGACGGCCACTGATGGCGATCTTGAGCCCGCCGTTGAAGGCACGAGCAGCGCGGCAAAGATGGTCATCGGTACTGAGGCATGGAAAATCGCGAGCGCTGGTGCAACGTGCGTGCTCTGGCCCACTTCGCGAGCGGCAGTCCGCGACAGGAAGAACGCAGAAAAGAGCGACGAAAATTCAAAACAGGGCGGGCGGAAGTCCGCCCTGTTCCGATAGTGTAAACCAAATGCTTTGATCAACGTGCGAGACTGGTCCCACCACTCAGCATCAGCGTGCAGGGAGAAAGTGGCAATTAATCGCGGATACAGCACGGAGTGCCGTTGTTATGCATGGGGCCGTTGACGGATCACAGGTGATTCTGCACCCTGGTGCTGAATGGCGGGCCACCCTTGCCCGCTATAGCACCCATTTTCCGTCGAAGTACGCTGCAAGTGCCAGTCCCGGCTGTGCCATGCTGCGCGCAAAAGCTCAAGAAGACTGGGTGATGACCTTGCAAAAATATTTTGACGGGTGTGCGAATCGAATAGGGTTACGTCAGCCATAGCCTTCTGTAAGCAGCAATACTCTAGCTCTCGTCGCAGCGTTGACGTTAACGCGGTTTCGAGGCGACCGAAATGGACGGAAGACTACGCACATTTCATACGACAGGGCCAGAGCCGTAGACAGAGTTTGGTCGGAGAAGGAGACAAGGGCCTGGTGACCGGTGGCTTGCTCTTATAATCTACAAGAAAATCTAACGACCAAATCAAGGAACTATGGCTTCAGCCGACCCGGGAAGCAGGCCGTTCGTTTATTCCATGCGCGAAGGCCACAAAGGAAGTATATGTCGGGCACAACACGACTGTCAAGTTGCGTACTGATCACCCTCCTTTGTTTGTATGTAATTCTTAGCTCTATTTCAGTCTCCGCCTCCCCCAAAGGATACTGAAAACAATGGGAATGCTTTTATAAAAGAAATGTTTTCCGTTTTCTACCTGGCTCGGTATTCTTTCAGATGTCCCTTCACACAATCCAGCAGGTAAAAACCGGCTCCTCTCGAGCTGTATATATCTAGGAAATCCGAGGGACACGATCTTATGATTCCCAAGTGAAAATGTTTGCAAGTGGTACCACTTGCAAGTGGTTTATTGAACAGGCACCACTAGCAAACAGTACTACATGGTCATATAGATGCACAAAAGCAAAGCCAGATGTTAGACTTTCTTACTTTTATTTTGCAGTTGAGTACTTGTAACGCTGGCGGAACTGGTGACGTTCCAAGTAGATGTGGCACGACTTCTTTAAGTGCGCACTGACGGTGTTGACAGCCTCTTATATTAATAGACGTCTCTCGGTGAAGTTCTAGAAGCGGCTGCCGCTGACGTCGTTGCTGGCGACGGCACAGCGACAGCGCCGGAAGAAGGCAGCGTGTCGAAGACCCGTTGACTCTCCACTCCCAGGCAGTGACGGAGCAGGGGCCATATATGTTGCACGTTTTGGACTCCGATGGCGAATAGGGGGAAGGAAGTGACGTCAACGACACAGCAAACGCAGATTGAATGTCGTCAGAAGAGAACAAAATCAACATCCAATAAGCGCTTGCTTCGTTGTTGACGCCACTTCCTTCTCCATAGTCGCCATGGGAGTCCAAAACGTGCAACATAGGGCCCCAAGTATCGACGACATTCCAAGAGCAGTGTGTGAGCACCCCATGCCCCCATGAAACATTCGAATAGGAAAATCCATCGCTCCCAGGGAATTTCAGACTTCCCTGCGGTTTACTCAAAAAGTCTTGAGGAGGTTCGGATCCGCCGTCCATCCCGTCGTCAAAAAAAAAAAAAAAAAAGTGGAGTCTTCGGTGGACCCGGTGGGTCAGGAAGGAAGTTTCACCTTATGCTGTACCGCAGCGAAGGCTGGAAGCGCGAGCTGATAGCGTTGACAGCTGCCCTTGGTGCACGAGAGCTTGTGCCGCCGAGATGTGCCCCAGGACAAGGATCTCCGCGCTTATAGCCTTTCCTGCGGTACAACATAAGGTGAAACGGAGTATAGTCACAAGTGCCGCTCTCATGAGGCTCTTTTCTTTATTAAGAAATGGTGATGATGAGGAAGGAGTAAGTGAATGAACACATAGCATAGAAGAAGACGAAGTTATCCGAATATATGCAAATATAACAATGAAGACACAAAACCCCCAATGGGTACACGCAGTACGCGCGGCAAATGACGGCGCAGGGCGTGACTCGTTATCTTCCTGGTTCGTGATTGGATCTCCGACGGTCGTGTCGGCTAATGTCGCATTCTCATTGGCTGTGAAGGGATGACGTGACACTCAAGACTCGCCCTGCGTTTCTATAGCTCGAACTCAAAAAACGTTAGTGATTTTTTTTTTTTTTTTAGATTTGTAGTTTTTTTGTAGACATTCTCGAGATCGAACTTGGGGCAACAGCTTTCACTTATTTTATTAGTGATAAATATGATTTTGCAAACTGGTGCCATTTGCAACCCGAGTGGTACCACTTAAAGCTCATGAGGCACCATTTGCAACCCAAGTGGTACCACTTGAGGCCCAAGTGGCACCACTTGAAGCCCAAGTGGTTCCACTTGACTTCCAAGCGACACCGCTTGACTTCCAAGTGGCACCACATGACTTGCAAGTGGTACCACTTGACGTCCAAACACTACTACTTGACTTCCAAGTGGTACCATTTGACTTGCAGGTAGTACCACTTGACTTGCAAGTGGTACCACTTGAAAGCAAGTTATACCACTTGAAACGCCACTTCATATTTTCACCTGGGTTATAATGCAATTAAATGCGAAAGTGCAAGCGAGCTGGACAAAAATGACGAAATGAATCCCTGGAGAAGGGGAACAAGAGGGACAAAGGACAAACAACTCCGAAACACAGCTAGGTGACTGGTGCGCGACCGAAAGAATCCGCCTAATCCGGGTACCGAACCCGGGACCTTTCCATTCCTTGTACTTCTTGTTTTCCTTCTCCAGAGATTCATTTCGACGATCTTACGGCAACCTTGAACGTTTTTCTTCTCTCCCGCCATGCGAGCGGTGCCACCGCGGCGTCGTCGGTTCATGGAGGATTTCGTGACTGGGTCGGCGCAGTGTGGTATTGCCGTGGATTCATTCTTGGAGCTTCTGAAATTCTACCTTACCTCCACTGTAATAAGAATGGAATATGCAAAGGGGCATGCGTAGCACAGGTTCTGTGTAGCCCAGAAGCTTCCAGCAAACTTGGTATCAGGTGTGTTCAGATATGTTGATGACTATCTTATCCTGCTCTATGAACGACCTGAACGAAACGTGTACGATCTAAAGGAAACCTTTAGATTGTTTTATAGTTTCTGTGGTACGGCTCAGAAGTCACTCGAGGATGAGACTTTACGTCAGAACACGAAGGGCGTGCTTCGTGCAGTTTACGTTGCAGTTGACATATCTATGTGCGCTGTGCTGAGCCTTTTTCTTGTCGTTCGTTTTGCTAATTAATTCTCGGACACAGTTTTTTTTAAAATTTATCAGGTGCTGATGTTACAACCTGAATGTCATATTTAGACGCTATTCGTTTCAAGTTGTGTGAGACTTTGTGTTGGAAGGGTATCACTGCCAGTCGGCGCGCCTCATCTCTTCTTCTTTCATTAGTTCGCCAGCTCTCTGCTACACCGAACAATAAGGAACTGGTATACATGCGCACTCTGTAGTTTTTGAACTTGTGCCTCAAAACTCTGCTTGGCTGTGTGCTCGCATGATTTTTGCAAGGCTGCTATATAGCAGCTTTTTTACAATTCCTATCTTGATTATATTAGAATGCACCGAGTCTAATGGAAGTGAATTTTTGAACCGTGGTTTGTAGGTCCAACATGTATGGTTGTCGTGAAAGGACAGCTGACGATCTAGGAATTGTAGCTTGCTGTTATTTGGTAGTTCGTGGGTAAACTTTAGTCTCCGAGATGGAGTAAGGAAGGTGATGCCGATGTTGTTTACTGTTGAGGTCCCACGCAAAGAAATGTCGACACAAAACTCTGGTTGCCGCCGTCGCTCATAGATGGTGGTAGCTGTCCAGAATGTTGTACTTTGGAATTACAACAGGTATGAGCTAGGTGATGAGAGAGATTTGGAAAGGGGTCATGGTGCCTGGCTTGACTTTTGGAAACGCAGTGCTATGCATGAAATCCGAAGTGCATGCAAGACTAGAAATAAAACAGCGCGGAGTAGGTAGGCTGGCTTTGGGGGCACATTGCAAAACGCCAAACCAGGGAGTACAAGGAGACATGCGATGGGCGTCATTTGAGAGCAGGGAAGCTGTGAGCAAGATAGAATTTGAGGATCGGTTGAGGCAAATGGATGGGGAGCAATGGGCACAAAAGGTTTTCAGTTACTTATACATGAGGAGTATAGACACAGAGTGGAGACAGCGCACTAGTAAATTAAGAGGAAAGTTTTTAGGCTATAGTGGAGATACGGTCTCAGTTAAGAAGAAAGTTAAGGCCACAGAAAGAGATCGGTAACTAGAGGGAATGCAGGCAAAGACGGCTCTGGAAAGCTAGAGATCAAACAAAACAGTTATTGCCAAAGAAAGCATTTATGACAATTCTAGGGGAAGCTCATTGCTGTTTGAGGCGAGGACGGGTGTTCTGCGAACCAGAATATACAGAGTGAAGTACCAGGAAATGGATACAGTGTGCACTGCTTGTGGAGAGGAAGACGAGA